CGAACGCTACATACTCGACTTGCCATGCTTGTCTATCCGCGAGGAAGTTCAACGCGTCATGCAGAACCCTGACTGGTATGTTGATGGAAGTGTTCAAGATTTCCATATTATCTTGCTGGTAATACGGAACGCTGTCCTTGCCTGGCACTTCGGACTTGTAATGTCGCTTTTCTGGCGCTCGACTGGCGATCAGCAGTTTAGTCGAGACCCTATAATGTTAGTGGGGAATATTCTGGTGGTGGTCATCACTTTGCTCAACATCTTGACTTTCCCGACTTTGGTAGCTATACTTGTTGACTGGTCTAAGAGGCGATCTAGAGCTAGGGCCGCAAGGACTCGACTGCGACGATGGTAAGATTGAGGCCGATAATCAAAGCCTTCGTAATCCAAGGAGCTTTCATACGGTGCGGTCGAGTCAGTGTTAAATCAACAGTTCCAAGTTGCGATCTATAAACATTCGGCAAAAGTGCAAATAGGATTTCCCGATCATTCACTATGCTTTGTTGTACCACACCAACGATATGATGCAGAAGTGCGTCACTTCCGACTCTCAATTACTAAACTTCCCGATACCAGACTCTGCGCGTCGACGCGTGAAGTCCTGCTCCATCTCCCCAACTGGCCAATGCGTATCCTGGGGAGGAATATTGTTATGATAAACCGGAGAAGGACGGCGCGGTCCATACGTTGACCCATCAGGCGGTTCAGCTAGACGTGTAGCATCGACGATGTCACAACCTTGAGTCGGTGTCGATATAAAACTGTCATTACTCCGCGCATTATCGCTGGCCATTACTGTGCGGGGCTTACTAGGGGTCAGCGCCTCCAAATCACGTTGGACAACGGCGTCGGCTTCGACATCGGTTCTTTCCTCCTGGGATGCTGAACGGGTACGCCTGTGGAAGCACTGCCTCACAGTGGTAACAATCCATATGAGAATAGATATGCCAATCAGAGCGCCAATGACGCACCCGGCAATGATGCCGTTTGTCTTAGCGTCGTTGGGGTCGGGGCGATGGGTTTCATCATATGAGTACGTCGGCGTGGATGCAGGCGCGGTAGCTTCGACGTACGGATATGATGGAGATGCTATCCAGGCTGGTGCCGTTGGTGAGGGCGTATTGGCTGGATCGGACCACGCAGGTTGTGTCCATGTGGGTTCGGTCCATACGGGTTCGGTCCATGCTGGCGCTGAGGGTGTCCACTCCCACTGGCGCGCCTGAAGGTTGTTATCGCTATCTGATACGGATGTTGTGCCTGTGATTATGGATGAGGCCATTACCGTAACTTTTGTTGGCTCCGTGATGGACAGAGAAGAGCGAACCGGCGCTGCGAAGACAGCTGATACGCTCGTAAAAGCGAGAGTGAGAAAGGGTAATAACATACCTGGTGTAGATGCACACATATATAAGGTGTATCTACAACTACAACCGAGATTCTCACTACTGTGACGTTCGATCCGGCGAACTGTGAAGATTCTGATCGTATGTTTGCTGTCCTGTGTGACCGTTACTCTGTTGTCCGTCGAATGCAATGGTCACTTCGCGCCTTGAAAGATCTGCTTCAGCGCTGCGCTTGAACCCTTCAATTAGTGGGATGATCGTGCTGTCAATGTTTAGAGTGCATTGTGAGAACACACCACTGAGGTTGATGTTGGTAGCGATAGCCAGGCAATGGATGGCATGTCGAGGTCCTAGCCACGCGCCATCAACGCGATATACGCCCGGACAAGATAAGCGATAGATCAGCGTTTGAAACATGGGTACAGTTAATATATATTAGTGATTTCCAGACTGACGTTACGCTGAAGCCGTGCCTAGTTTCTGTGTGCGCGGCGCTATCAATGTCTTGTTAGCTACGTGTTGAGCAAGCGCGTCATCTACTCGCACTTCTAGTACTTCCGAAAGCACATACAGAATAGATATCTTCGTTCAATGAGGCCCAGTGTAATTACAGCCGGCAAAAATGGCATACGACTACGTCATACGGACGTATTTGACCGGTCCAACGTACACGTGTCTGCCACGAAGAACGTAGTACAGTATAGCAAAGAGAACGACGATCCCATATCCCAATACTGCCCAGTTCATATCTGTAATTGTTGGTCGAGGCCCAACTGGGAAGAAACAGAAGACCCAAGCAAACAGCAGGAACAGTACAGCGATGATGTTGATCGGTAATCCAAGTCGTCCCAGGTCGAACTTGGACGGCAGAAGCGGTTCACCTCTTATGCGCTTCAGGGCAACGCACGAGATTGTGATCAGGTACGAGGTCAGCATCGAAGCTACACCAAGCGAAATGACTTGCATGAATGCGACGGTCGAGCCAAGGTTGATACATGACAGAATTACGACGAAAACAACCGTTATGTAAGTCGAGTTGATCGGCACTTCGCGCTTCGTTGATACCTACTCGCTGTCAGTTCTCGGTTGAAGTAATAGCGATGGCGAAGTAGGCTTTTGACGAACCTTGCTGAAGACATGCGCAAATGGGACGCCATTATCACGAGCGAAGGCAAATACCTGGCGTGAACTTGTTGCCATGATAGCAACGCAAGCGAAAATCGCAACGACCAACATCAAAACCGTCAGCGCAGTCGCACCGCCTACGGACTTGGTCGTGTCGACGAAAACTTGAATGAAAGGCGTACCAAGTGGAGTCGTAAGTACAGAGACTGTATCGGTGACGCAGAAGCAGAAGGTGATTGCCATGATCCAGCCGAGCAACCCGTTCCCGAGCCACGTCCACATCATAGCGCGCGGAATCACATGGGCAGCATCGCGTACCTCCTCCGCCATATGTGCTCCCGCTTCAACGCCAACGAAGGAGCTGGTAGCGCTCGTAAGGCCAAGAATGACCGCGAGCGGAATATTGCCCCACATCATATTGTCCTCAAAGACCGTGAAGACGTCGCTGGAAGAGTGGCTTCTATCGCTCATGACCCAGAGTGGAATTACGACAGCGAAGAATCCAGCAACGTGCAGTATGACGACGCCTCCTTCTATTAATGGTAGATGTCGAGAGAGGTATGTGTTGAATCCCAAGCATATGGCCAGGACAGCCCAGATGAGGAGCGTTCCGTGCCACGCCTTCGGAATGTATGATGTATTGTTCAAGATGATGAGGCCTTGGATCTGTTTGCCGGAAAGATACGAAACGGTTGCTACACCGGTCTGCCAGCCCAGAACCCCGAGCCAACCTACCAGATAGCTGAGAAACTTCTGGCAGCTTGGTGGTGCGAACTCTGATACCCAGTGGTACTGTGCGCCAGCCGTTGGTGCCCTGCCAAAAGTGAGTAACTATCATTGGAGGTCATTAAGCTGTACCCACATCGATGCCATTTCAGCCAGCGAAGCAACAACGAAGCCGAACCCAATCATGACGATGAAATATCCCCAGATAAGCCCTGCTGTTCCGCCGTTGGCAAGAGCAAAGACGGATGTGGCAAGGATAGTCTCCCAAGTCGAAAGAAGAACTATACAGAATCCTAGAATGGTGATAGAACGGAAGTTTCGCCGGGTTTCCTGCGTCTTTCCCATGCGGTGCATGTCATGGGCGTCCGCTGTGGTCGCATCCTTTTCGGCCACGTTGTGATCCAGGCCATGATCGTTGAATATATCCTGGGGTTCTCCGATGTGTGCTTCTGCAAATTTGCTAGACATTATCACGCTGGAGGATCTTTGATGGGAATACGACGCAGAGGGAAGTAGCAAGTCCCCATCTCGTGCGTAGACAAAGGTCTTCTTATGCCTGAGAGGTGATGCGGTTGTATCCTAGTCGACTTACGCCCTGCATATGTATATGGTAGCTCAATGAAGTCAATACCTGCGCCTCGCTGTAAAGACGATTTCGCGTACCGATGCTGCAGTATTGATTAAGCAGCTTGCGACCCAGCGCTTGTCATTGGCAGACGGCTGGGCGTACAGCAAGCAGCGATAAGTTTTGTCTTACGGTGGATATCGCACTGCCGAAAGGATATGGATGATGCCGTTTGTGCTGACAGGAAGATATAGCCAGGCCTTACGATGCAGGTAATCTGCCATCGGAGAGATCATTGGTAGATAATATGCTGTGATCTGGCTATCTGCAACGTGTCGCACATGTGGAGATCTAGACGCTCATACTCATCGGTCAAGAACTCAAGGACCCGCAGCGAGACAATGTTTCGAAAGTCGTGATAGCAGTCGAGGCTATCTGTGCTGTGTGAGAGCGTGCTTGAGCTCTGGAGAGATGATTAGAAGGCAGGTGCCCCTGCGCCAGCCAAGAAAGGCTAGCTCATGACGCGTTCTTAGCGTCTTCGGGGTCCAAATGTCGCCAGGGTCTTCGGCATCTTCAGTCGCGTCGCTTTCACGCAACACCTGGAAACCTTCTCAATCCACAATACATTGCCGTCGAATTGGATGCCTTCTTCTGAATCGCGACATCATGCTCGACCTGCCTCACTCGCATGCCTAGAGTGTCGGCGTACCCACCTCAAGTGCGACGGAACCCAACCTATATGCGGGCGCTGCCAGACTCGTGGTTTTGCATGCACCTACAAGCGTTCTGGACGAGGTCGCCGACGTGGTATAACGCGCGCAGATACTGATGAGCAGCCGACACTGTCTCACACCCCACCCCTTTCTTCTGGCCCGGTCGCGCAACCCGCTGTTGCACAAGCGCTGTCCTGTACGTCCTCTGCAGCGCAATGGCTTCCTCTCGACGATGCAGCCGTTCCACCAAACTCGGCCCTACTGCAGCGTCGAATATCAACCACTCCGCCAGATCAGAATGCCGAGTGGGCTGACGATGAGCAACTGGTGAATCTTTACTATCTGAACTTCCACGCGAGTCACCCAATCCTTCTCCCAAGGGACATGTATTGGCAACACGGATACCCTCGTTATCTGAAAGCGGTAGTTCATCTCATCGGTGGTCGCTATTCACATGCTGTCTCGCTCGACGAATTGCGCGAGAACGTGGCACGAGAGTTTGCTCAAAGCGAAGGAAACACAGCCGAGATGGTACAAGCAGGACTCCTCAACACTATCGCCCTGTTCGCGGAAAACGCTACGGATCAAGGGCAGAAGATGCTTGATTCCACGATCGAACTAGCTTTACGACTCGGCATGCACCAGCGGAGCTTTGCTTCAACGCATGCTGGTGATCTGACTGTGCTGGAAGAAAGCATGCGGAGAACCTGGTACGAATTGTACGTGATCGACGGCTGCATCGCGGCATTGCAGCGAAAATCGACGTTCAAAACCAACACAGTAAACGCTGATGTTCTTTTACCATGCGAAGACTTTACTTACGAAGCCGGAATGTGCTTTATGCCAGCAACTATGGCCGAATTTCACGGCAACGTCTTTGCCGAAGAGGAAAAGGTGTTTTCTTCCTTCTGCTACCGCATAGAAGCCGTACGTCTTCTCGGACGAGTTCTGACTATCACTGGAAAGCATGGGGTGGATCGAGATTTGGTGCAGGCCGTTGACAATGCGCTTGCTGCATTCTTATACCACTTACCACGCTCCAAAAGCGAAGCGGAGATCTCAAACACCTTCGGTGATCTGGACGAACTCATGTTCCAAGCGCACACTATCATCCAATGGAGCACTATTCTCGTGCATTACCCCAGAGGCGATCTGATATCTTCTGACCTGTTAACACAAGACGTACTTGGAGCCAACTGTACCAAGCTCCTTTGTCCCTGCAATCGACAACATATCCACTCCGTCAAAGCCATCGAAGCCTCCAAGACCCTAGCTATGTTAGCGGCGCTGCGTACTCCCACTCAAAAGCACACACCATTGTTTGTGTATCCACTGGCTCTCGCTGCTGTCGTTCAGCTTTCCATCGGCGCGATGCACGACAAAAGCCCTCGGCGTTGCTTGGACCAGCACGCTGACCGAGTGAAGCTGTTACTCGGGGTACTCAAGTCTATGAGCCGCCAATGGTCGGCTGCTGGAATTGTGTTACGCACCCTGAAAAGGGTAGCATCCGCAGTATTCCGTAGTTCCTCCGTCGATTCACCGTCCAGCATAGTGGCTCCTCCAGCCACATCAATTGATAACGATGCTTTCCCCGACTTCGATCTCCAGGATTTGTACGGACTTGTAGGCCTTGATAACAATTCGTTAGGCATATGATGAACTCGATCTGGTCTTTAAAGTCTACTTCAACCATTCGGTCGAAAGTGCAAGGATACATCAATCGCTTCGTTTGCGCGAACCATTGGAAAAGATCGTTATACCGTGTACCTACTGTCTAGCATCATCCCCGCCGACAAAGTGCTTAGGCCTGCGTAGAGGTGCTCATCGCCGCTCCGTCCCCGTCTCCCATGACCGTTCCTTCATCTTGATCGGAAGATGCATCAAAAGCTCACCACTTGGTGTCGGTAATGGGAGTCTACCAGCGCGTATGTTTATCTGCAAGGACGGATGCAGCAATTTCGGCGCGTTGAGACTCGCATCACGTTCTTCCCGCAGGATTTGGAAATCGTCCTCCGCATGGTTCGCAAGATGCCTATTCTTCTCCTTATGATCTCGTACAGTCATCCAAGGCACGGCCTCGCACCGTTGAGGACACGCTGGATAATCATGCCCAGTCCAAATTTTGGTTTCACCCGGTAGTTCCAGTAGCTTTTGTGCCGAAGCATACAAGCTCTTTGCACTACCGCCTGGAAAGTCACAGCGTGCTGTGCCTATATCAGCGTGAAATATCGAATCTCCGCAAAACACATTGGCTTGGTAGTGTTAGCATTGAGTACAAATACAGATCGCTACAGCGAACACTTACTGCCGACCTGGTAACCGATATGATCTGGGGTATGACCTGGAAGATGAAGGACCTTCACCCTCAAACTCCCAACCTCGAACATCTCATCATCTTCGAAAAGTTGATCGAACGCGTTTTCGTACTCAACAGCTGGAATACCATATCTCACAGCAAATCGTTTCTGGACCTCCCGAATTCGTTTTCCGATGCAAATGGGTGGTCTGAAACCTTGCCGCGATGAGAGACGCTGCTGGAGGTAAGAAGCTGCTGTCAGGTGATCGGCATGAGCGTGCGTTTCCAGTATCCTCTCGATATAGTATCCGCCCTCCAACACCGTGGCCAATAGATCATCAGCTGTCTGGGTACTGATTGTCTGGGTAGGCCCGTCATAGTCGAGCACAGGATCGATAATGACGGCTTTCTTGGACGAAGGGTCCGCTACCACGTATTGCCATGTTCCCGTCTTCCCTTCAAACAAGCTGTGGATCGCGGGCTCGTGGGACATTATCGTGTGAGTATTGTAAGATGATCGGGTTTGGGCCTCCGGTCGGCTCTGTAAATGTGGATTGGTCAGGTCGGTGACGATGCGGCCTACTCGGCTTGCGTAATTCGATGATCGTGGCGAATCAACTGTTCCTCGTGCTATGCGTTGAGATAGTGCATGAGCTCGTTGGTTTATCGATCTTTGCTGTTGCCTCATAACGTAGGCCTTTGGGGTGTTGTGAAAAGATTTCGGCAATTGCCAATGTGCCTGAATGCGCACAGATGATTGTAGATTCTTCATGTCCTAGGATGGGATAATTAGTGTTCTTCGTGCATCAGCGGCGACTTGTTCAATGCCTCCTCCGCTTCATCTCAATTATATACCATACTCAGGACGCTGACTGTGCCCAGGTGGTGCCATCTCCTTGCAGGGTTCGGCGTCTAGCCCCACAAAACAGGATTCGGCGTCTCGTTGATCGCCGACATAGCAACGGCCTATGGACTGAACTATCTACCACCTCAAGATTTTCATAGCCCTTCAAGAGTTGTTTCGTCCACTGTCCACAAACCGCAAAATCGTAAAGAGCCACACTACAACAGATCTACAGTTATTCGAGCGAAAACAGCGATCATTCCCTACTAGTACTTCAATTTACCGTTAGCCAATACCACCACACAACCGTCAGCAGCTAAAAGGATAGCTACTTACTTGGCCGGAATGTATTCACCGTGCCATCGCTTCACATCGACGTCCCTCCGGACTGCACTCACCACACAAAGTCGGCCAGCTGGTCGAGACCTCGCGACCGTCTCACCTGCGATAAGTACATCAAGACATCACAAGGTTATTGTCATTGGAAATGGTTCAGCTGGTGTCGCAGTCAGTCATCAACTGTTACGGAAAGGACGCTTCAAAAAGGACGACGTTGCGGTTGTCGATCCGAGCACTTGGCATCATTACCAACCGGGCTGGACATTGGTGGGCGGCGGCTTGAGCAACAAACTGCAATTCAAAAGGCCGATGAGCGAACTCGTCGCATCTGGGACAACGTTCTACAATGACCATGTAGTGGCCATTCGCCCGCAAGACAACTGTCTGTCACTGGGAGACGGTGACAAAGTCCAGTATGATCATCTCGTCATCGCCCCGGGCATCAAAGTCGATTACGACGGCATCAAAGGCCTTAGCGAAGCAATGGCCAACCCTGATAGCCTTGTAGCGTCCATATACAGCTACGACCACTGCGACAAAGTGTTTCGAAACATCCAGCGCCTCAAAAAGGGCTCAGCCATCTTCACCCAGCCTTCCGGTGTAGTGAAATGCGCAGGCGCACCTCAAAAGATCATGTGGCTCGCAATTGATCACTGGAGACGAGCAGGCCTCTACAGCAACGATCCTGAGAAAAGTACTATCAAGATGACTTTCGCGACTGGTCTGCCCACTATGTTTGGCGTACCGAAGTACAGCGTCAAACTGAACGAAATGCGAGAAGAGAGAGGAGTCACAGGCCTCTTTGAACATAATCTCATCGAGATTAATGGGAATACTGCGACATTTGAACGACCGAATGGCGAACAGCCCGTACAACGACATTTTGACTTCCTTCATGTTGCGCCCCGGAATGTACCGCACGCTTTTGTGAAAGAGAGCGGGTTGGGCAACGACGCGGGATTCGTAGACGTGGATCAGCACTCTCTCCGGCACAGGAAGTTCAAGAACGTGTGGTCGCTTGGCGATGCAGCGAGTCTGCCGACGTCAAAAACGGTGGCTGCAATCACATCCCAAGCGCCAATTCTCACACAGAATCTGTTGCGTACTATGGATGGCAAGGAGCCAGAGTCCGAATACGATGGCTATACTTCATGTCCGCTTCTGACCGGTGACAAAAAGGTGCTTCTTGCGGAGTTCAAATACGGTGGTATACCCAAAGAGACGTTCAATACATGGTTTGGTGTTGATCAGGCAGTGCCGAGACGTGCTTTCTATCATCTAAAGAAAGACTTCTTTCCTTGGGTTTATGATCGATATCACGTGAAGGGCCAGTGGGGTGGCCCAAGTGGCTGGATCAGGTAGCTTTAGATAAGTGCTGAGAGGTGTTGCGATGCGTATTTTCGAAGGATTGATCCCCTGCATGGAAGTGTTGGATAACCTATCGTATGTATCGGCAGGGCTATATTGGCAATGGCGCGCAGTCGGCGCAAGGACTAACTTTGGCGTATTTATCCTTTTGCTCGCTGGTGTTGATAATTCTACTGCTATCATTCAATAAGGGGCGATATGTGCATGGGCAGCTCTTACGAAGAACACGTGGATGTGTGAAAGGTTGATGTTATGGTCTGGACGGCAGACGCGTGTTGGCGGAACAGCACGCTAAGGACAAAGATAGCTTAGCGCATCGCATGACGTAGGCGTGCTGGCTGACAGGGCGCGTTTGAACTTTGACAATAGGGCGTGCAACAAGGAGATATGTATAACCAGCGCCCAAGCCACTCTTCCCTCTGCTGCTGTCAGCCCAAATCACGTACGCGTTACATCCCACTCCGACTACTGCAATCGGTTCCGATTACCTAGCACCATGACTACGAAGACCTCACGGATCTCTTGCCGGACTTTCGTCGGTCATGCATTTGCCATTTCGAAGGCCTGTCGCTCTTATCACGGCATGTCCGAGTCTTGGAGACGAGGAACAGTCGGCACATGGCGCTAAACCTCTGGTGCAACGTTGCTTCTGTTGTGCAGGACCTCGAACTGGATTTCCCTTGGCCGCTCTGCACAAGAGATGAGGCGCGACGACACCCTCAAAACCCTACGCCACGGCGATGGATCAGCTGGAGGCTGATACAAGAGACATGTTTGCATATCAATACCCTCTTATCTCACGCCCACATTGATATGCACATTGCGAGCCCAACCAGGCCGAGCATGACTCCCTTCCAAGACGTGGAGGTGCCGTTCCACCCGAACATACCTTGGCTGCCAAGGCGCGCCTCCGCACCCATGGGACATCTCCACCTACCAAGTTCCTGCGCAAACGCCTCCCACGGGCCTGAATGTTGGTATCAGTAGCTGCAGACGGGTATCATGCCCGTAGTGCTACCCTGGCACGCGACATGTTATCATTGAGGCGTCGAGTCGTCGCTGGCCGTGGCTGCGTGGTGACGCGCGCCGCGACTCTGATCTAAGATCAGGAGCGCAGGGGTGTGCGACGACATCATTAGAAGAGAGAGTTGTGCCCAGACTGGGTTCTCTCACTGCACCTCTGCCGGGCTTGTCTCTTTGCCCTCTCCATGCAGCCTCTCATATCGCTTTACTCCTTCACCTCGTCTCATTGAGCGCATCGATACCATTTGCCCACCATGAACGTCATCCGCAAAGCCGTGCGGGCGATGTTCCCTCCGCCTCGCGTGGCGCCTGACGGTCGCGCGGAATGGCCCTCTCGAACACCATACGTACTTGCTTCCATGGGCGGAGCGATGGGATTCGGAAATTTGTTACGTTTCCCTTCCCAGGTCTTCAACAACAACGGCATTCAATGGTTTATACCCTACCTCATGGCTGTCTGCCTCCTCGCGATCCCGGTGCTTATCTTGGAAGTGGCTATCGGACAGGCCTACCGTAGCGGCTGTGTCATTGGTTACAACGGTCTTGATCGACGCTTTACCGGTGTTGGGTTCGGAATGGTCTGCGTTGGCTACGCTGTGGCCATCTACTACATTCCCATTCTATCCTGGGTCATGGTGTACTTCCGCAGTTCATTCCGGTCCGCAAACGACTTTCCCTGGAAAGATAACCCACAGGAGTACTTCAGTCGTGTCGTCAACGAAGTCCCCGCCATTCCCGCGGTCTACAGCGATGATGGCAGTCGAGTCCTTCAGTATGCCTCATATC